GTTAAACAGGGTTTTTTATATGGATATTTTCAGTGATAGCACAATGTGCTTCATAAATCACAGTTTTAATAAACTATCTTAATGCTTATCACACTTGCATTATACATTATCTGTGGCACTAGTTAACAGATAACCACATTACAAAGTCCACAGATACTATAATAGCTGACTAGAGTTCACCTCTGTCTTGCTGCAGCTTCCAGAAGAACAATTTCCTCCAGTGCAACACAGTTGGGGTGACTGGTTACAGAGTGGACGTAGCAGTTCAGTAACCCCACCTCCTTTCCCAGCACGCTCTGCACCTCGTAAGTCTGTGCGAATAAAAGCACGGTGAGTAAAACAAACAGTCCTGGACATTCTGTTCTAAACAGCATTCAGCTGGGAAGATGCAGCTTGCAAGATCCTCTTCCAACAGGCAATTTTTTTAAAGGACTCAGAAGGATGCATTAGAACTGATAGAATGAATACACTAATTTTCAATAATTGGATCACACTCCTGTCTCAACTGCTGCTTCCCAACCAGGGTTTAAAAACGAGCTGTTTAAAAACCCAAAACGTTACTGTGACGTTGGGCTCAATTTTGCTGAAGCATAACCTGCACGTGGCTCCCTTTATCTCACTTTCTGACACTCACAGCACTTCCCACGTGCTGGCAATGTGTACATACAATCTATACATTGATTACGTTGGCCAACTGACTCACTAAAGGGAAAAACTCTTTGTTACCCTTTTTACTCTACTCACTCTCCCCCATTTTAACTTTGTGTTGTTCATGCATCTTTTACCACCACCAGCACCTACACAGTCCCTCCTGTTTAATGATCTGACCAGCATTTTACCCACGAGTTGTGCCTGAGCAAATTTGTGGAGACTGTATTCTGCATGGAGGAGAGGGATGCAAGGCTGGGATGGTTTCACTAAGAGGAGACAGCACGTTAACAGAAGAGCTGGTAACAACGATAGTTGATGCCTCACTTGAGAGGGTATCTCAGACGGCAGGTTCACATCCATTTCTTTCCCTAATGGGTCTTGTCTGTGATGAGCCCCTGACCATGCCCCTGCTTTCATCTGGGCTGTGCTTCTGTACAGGTATGTGATACCCATGTCTGTTGCCTGTTCAAGGCATAAACAGTCTTTTTCCTTTTTTTTCCCCCTGGATTATTTTTACCCCAGACCGGTTCTGCAGTCCAGTTCACGGTTGCAGCTGCACAAACAGCTCCACTGGTGTAACAGAAGGGCTGCCACAAAGTAAGGAACAAGCGTCCAGGGCCAGCAACAGCTAAAACCAACCTCCCTGCCAAAAAAGTTGATTACAAAGCTACACCCTTAGAAACTTTAGCAGCACTGGCAAAAAAAATGACACCTCAAGTATTATTTCTTATGATTAATCTTTATCCCTGCATTTCAGCTCAGGGAAGAAAAAAATCTAAGTTGCCAGACTTCTAAATACTGGCATTATGTACACTGAAACATGAAAAAGAGGTTGTTTGAATTCTAATAACTTGAAAAAGAACTATGTTTTGCTAGTCTATAACCAAACCAGGCACATCCTGTAAAACTCAGTAAGACTTAATTGCTATTAAAGGAGCAAACACATTTTGGAAATTTCTTGTATCAATTTGCTTAAATGAAATATACACCCTCCCACATAAGAAAAATAATTTATGATTTCAGAGTAACTTTTCACTTTCAATATTACCCATAAATCCCACTAAAACCATGGAGCATGTAATAGCAAAATGCTGGAAAACTTGTAAGACAGGGAAAGCAAACTGACCCCAATACAAGTCACTCAAGATACTTAACTAGGATGATTAAATAAGACAACGAGCCAACCTTTGCTCCCTTCCACGTGCAAGGGAGAGGGGAGAATCTTAGGATCCTAACTGGACTTAATGACTCTCTAAAGGTGCCGCTCCTTCCCTGCTGACCATCTGGCAGCCAATGCCAGTCAGGCACCTATCCGCGTGCCTCTCTCACCTCTGATAAATCTGGGTCACTGTGCCAAATGTCAGGGTTCTTCTGATATCTCAGATTAAAGGAATAACTACTTCACGATTACATAAACTGTACTTTAGCCCATGGATCCCCGTGGCATATGTGCGTTTCATTCATACCATTATAAAGTAGTATCTTGCACACATTTTGCAATTTCCTCTACTACTTCCACCTGCCAGTACTTGGACTGTATGCCCGCTGTCTTTGGATCCTCAGCCAGAGAACGGAGTACAGCCCAGTGTTGCCCATCGCAGCTCTGAGTGCCCAGACATGGTGTGGTTTGCAGGTAGCTCTGCAGGTCTGCAGCTGACCTAAAGCTGTCCACACAGCCCATCTGCAGCATCCCTCTTCCAAAAGGGAGGGTGCCAGTCTGATCAGAGTCATGAGACATCAGCAGGACATCAGCAGCTGGAAGGTGGCATTGCCAAAGGGCCCAGCCCACCCATAACACAGGCTGGACACGAGAAGGTGCCATCTCCTACTGCTCCTACTGCAGTTCTGAAAGAAACTGCCTGGAAAGTCAGAATTTCTATCACTGGAGGTTTTCAAGACCTTGTCAGCAAAAGTCATGGCCAACTTGCCTCCACATTGGCAATAGCTCAGTGTGGATAGGAGGTTGGACAAAAACCTCCAGGAATTCTTTCCACTTCTATGATATGACTATCTTCCCACCTGATTCATGCCTTCTGTACTCTGCCTCTACAGAAAGTTATGTAGTTTACCTTCCTTTGGTCAGCATTCATTATACCTACCCCATCCTCACTAGTGGAGGACGCCAGGAGAGAAGAGATCGTCCTTTGCAACAGCTGGAATGAGAAAATTCACAGGTTTTGTTCATGACAAAAATCTCGTGCGTGCAAAGACATTCTGTTTGCAGGTTAAAACAGTCACATAGAACAAAGCTTTATCATTTTAATATCAAATGTTTTTGTTTCCCTGGCCAAGAAAACAGAGAAGACAAAAATGATGTTCAGAATGGAAGTCTAAAAATACGCATTCCTTTTAGACTATGGAGACTGAGGTTTCCCAAGGTCCAACCTAATAAAGCCCTTCCTCTGGGCCATAGAACAGTTTGCAAACCTCAGTGTGAACTCAATGATTGTATTATTTAAGCAAGATCTGGAAACTGGGTTCTTAGCCCAATTAAACACAAGTTTAGTATCAGATTAAATTATGGCATAGTCTTACATATTTTGTCTTCTGGCAAAGCTGTTTGTAAAATTGTGGCTTAGAGTAGCTATGTGTCTACATACAATACCCAGAACCTTATTTCATGCCATACCTTTACTTTTACTGTACTCTGAGATCGAGATGGACAACTCAAGAAGACTTCCAGCTGCATTTTCAAAACTGGTGTAATGACAACGTCAGAGCATTGTCTGCAATACAGCAATTCTCTGAAACACACAAATAATGGTGGAAAACCATAGAGAAATGGAAAACCTATCAGCTGTAAATCAAAACAAATAAAAACTCAACTAGTTAATTCTCTGAAAACACTTTGCTGGTAGACTTTCAGTAGAAAAGCCTTGGTAGGAATTCAGTTGATAATAGCAAATAAAGCTCTTCTGCTGGCAGTAACTCTCTTGGAGGACCTAAACTCTTCTGGCAGAAGATCTTCCTTTTATAAGTTCTGGCAATATGGAGGGAGGTTGCTACTTATAGTCACCCAAAAAAGCAAATATTAAATCTCATAACTTGCTAAAAGTTATGGCCAGGAAAATCTGTAGTATACACTTGGCCAAAGTGACTTAATGACTTAGGCCCTCATTCAGCAAACGTTCAACATTTTCAATGCACACTTGAACAAAATTAAGCTCAGCTATAAGTGTTTGTTGGAAGCACTTCTTAAACAAACATTGATACTTCATTCATTCTACAAATGAAGCAAAAATGTCCTTCACAGGTGAGATACATTTTAGTTGAACTACACCACTGTGTGAACATATACACATCTTTATTTTTTCATGACAATACAATATAGGACACCTGTTTTTTATTTTCATCTTTTTTTCCCTCAAGGACAATATGCAACAAAGCATAAGCAGTACATCTTCTCATATTTAGGAAAATATCTATTTCAATAGGATCAAACCGTCCCAACTGCTCCTTATAGTTTTTGTAAGCTTTTCCAGCAGAAAGAACCCCTCCTTTCTTTCTTCTTTTTTTTTCTGTTTTTCCTTCCTTCTTTTTACACTTTGACTACTCTTATCCCACTGAGTTTTTATTCCACCAGGTATCTCAGTCTCTACAAGAAGAAGCTGAGTAGGCAGCTGATGGTTAGGCTTTCCAAAAGCATGCCAGTGTGAGCCAGCTTCAGCATTTCAGGTGGTAACAGGTCCTGTAGGGTCAGCCTTCACATTCAGGACAGCCATGCTGCCAGATTTATTCAATGTCCTTTTTAGAAAGGTGATAAATTTAGTAGGTCTGAAACACAACTCTCTCACACTTGGATAAATCGCAGCAAAGATCGTGGTTCAGTATAAAAATGAGGTGAATTGAGGGTACACAGAGTAACAAGGCAGGGCACACAAACACATGCAGCTTTAAAGTTCCTTTTAAAGGAACTTAAAATCAGACCTGTGGTTTATGTGTATGTTTATTAAAACTAACAATATAATGCAGTGGGCTATGAAATCTTTATAAGCAAGGCTTTAAGACTGATTTTTAAAAAAACTAATAACTGCAAAATCAAACCATTTCATATCTACTTGTATCTTTCTTAATAAATTAATGTAACCTTGCAGGCTTTATCAGTTCATCAGCAATAAAAATACTACGTCTTAGTTCTAGGAAGGAGCAAAGTGCAGGCTGTGCCTGCAGGAATCATTGCATCACCTATTGCTATTATGGCTACATCTACAAAACACCTGGAGTGCTTCGGAGCATGCTGACTCTCACCTGTCCTGGGGACACAGTTCCAACTTTCCATTTCCACATCTGTCGCATGTAGGCCAGGAGAAAGCAGTGCTCTCATTAACTCCAACAACAGTACCTGCAGAACATGGAATTCTTACAAATTGCTAACATTAAGACAGCATACACAGTCTCTCTTGGCTTCACAGCAGGTTTGAGCCTTTCTGACCCGCAGCTTAGGACTTGTCAGAGCAAGAACCAGCTCTTCCAACAATCTCACTCCCTTTCTCCTTGGTCCCTCCAACAAGGGATGAAAGTACAGCACAGCATGTTACATTCTAAAAATACCAGAAGGTAGATAATTGACAATTAACTTTCCAAACAGGCTCAGTTCTTTTGGTTTGGATTTTATTGCTTTTCTGATTTGTTTTCACTTGTTTGCTTTCTTTCTGGTCCTCTGCTGTTTCCTTGGCAATAAACAGCTAAAAAAATCATCAGATCAGATAGATTGATATTGATATTTAAGAAACACAAACCAATGAGAAGTCCCAATCCCTTTTGAAAACAACAATGCAGATTAAATTCCACTAACAATGGAGTTATTCTCCATTTATACTGATTTAAGAGAGATTAGATCTGGCTCAGAGACTTAAGTGTGTGCCTAAGAAGGGAATGCCAAAGATACTTTGGACTAATAAAAAGGGCCTCACTAGTTTTGGCAAGAAAAAATATATTCAGGGTTTTATGAGAAGCCAATAAAGAGTGTATTATATTTTATGCTAACAATATGATGAAATTATGAGAGTTATTTATGGAGAAAAATACATCTAAGTATTCACCTGTAAGAATGAAATTACACTAAAATAAAGCCTCACTAATACAACAGAACTACAAACTAAAAAATCCAGCTCCTGTTGAGCAAGAATCTCACATTCTATACCACATTCAAGAAGAAAGCCTTGTAGACTGTGAAGCATTTACATCGTCGGGACTGTAAAGCAGGCTGTTAATCCCTTACTTTTCTGGTTCTCCTGAAGCAAGGAGGGAGCTACACCTACACAACAAAACTGTAAGATTTTCTTTGTGAATTCAGAGGACAAGGAGTCTGAAGATATGGAAAGTTGCCTCTCAAATACAACATTTACGACCCAATTGCTAAGCATACAATGAAGCAACATGCATTACACTGACAGAATAAGCAATTCTATTTAACCCCTTGGACTCCTACAGAAATAATTTTGATTATTCAGTGTTTGTGAGAAGTTTGGAGTTTCCATCAGCACTTGCTACTACAAGATAGGCTTTCTGCCACAGCATGGGCAAATGTTTATCTTTGAATGACATGAATGCTGAATGGCCAGTCACAAGTGGTGTTCCCCAGGGCTCAGCTGGGGCCAGTCCTGTTTAATATCTTTATCAATGACTTAGATGAGGGGATTGAGTGCACCCTCAGTCAGTTCCCAGACAACACCAAGTTGGGTGGGAGTGTTGATCTGCTGGAGGGCAGGAAGGCTCTGCAGAGGGATCTGGACAGGCTGCATCCATGGGCCAAGGCCAGTGGTATGAGGTTCAACATGCCAAAGTGTCAGGCCGTGCACTTGGGTCACAACAGCCCCAGTCAGTGCTACAGGCTGGGAGTAGAGTGGCTGGAAAGCTGCCCAGTGGAAAAGGACTTTGGGGTGCTGGTCAATAGTGGCTGAACATGAGCCAGCAGTGTGCCCAGGCGGCCAAGAAAGCCAATGGCATCCTGGCCTGCATCAGAAACAGTGTGGCCAGCAGGACCAGAGCAGAGATTGTCCCTCTGTACTGGGCAATGATGGGGCTGCACCTTGAGTACCATGTTCAGTTTTGGGCCCCTCACTACAAGAGGGACATTGAGGTGCTGGAGAGTGTCCAGAGAAGGGCAATGAAGCTGGTGAAGGGAAGCTAGGGTTGTTTTAGCCTGGAGAAAAGGAGGCTCAGGGGGACCTTCTTGCTCTTTACAACTGCCTGAAAGGAGGTTCTTGCCAGGCAGGGGGTCAACCTCTTCTTCCAGGTAACAAGTGACAGGATGAGAGGGAATGGCTGTGCCACAGGAGGTTTAGATTGGCTGTTAGGAAGAATTTCTTCACTGAAAGGGTGGTCAAGCAATGGAACAGCTGCCCAGGGAAGTGATGGAGTCACCACCTCTGGAGATATTTAAAAGACGTGCAGATGTGACACTTGGGGGCACGGTTTAAGTGCTTGATTCGGCAGTAATGGGTTAATGGTTGGACTTGATCTTAAATATCCTTTTCAATCTAAGTGGTTCCATGATTCTATGATTCTTGTTCATCAAAAAGAAAAGCTACTAACTGGTTTGCTGAATATGTTACCTTCTTAATTAAAAAATCATTTTAAAAACAAGTCCCCTTTTCTGACAGATGTGTTTCTAAGTCTTTTTGCTTTCCCCCAACTGTGTGCCATACTGCAACTGCAGGATGCCAATGCACAAGTAATGCAAGTACACTTGAAGAAAATAAATCAGGATCATAGTGATACAAACTGTACAGTGGTTTATTTTGATGACAATGTAGAGTTCCCTTGACAAAACCACCAGAGATCACTGAAGACAGACCAACTCAAACCAGCAACACGCATAATAATCTAGTGACAGTCTTGGGTATCCTGTATGCAAAGTGATTTCTCAAGTTTAAGCTACTGAATTGCTGCACATCTTTGTCAAGACTCACAAACCTTTTGTATATTTTCCCAAGATCCTTCTTTTAAATGGAGATGCACACAGCCAAAATGAGATTTTCACCCATTTGCTATTTTTACGGGTTGTGGCTGACATCATTAAGAAGAGACTGAGAACAGGACAATACCTGACAAAACAGGTCTCTCGTGTGGAATGCAAAGTAACACTCTGGTCGAAACATTCAAAAATCAATGTATTTGGTTTTGAGTGTTTTTTTCCCAATCAGTTACCCAGGTCAATGGAACAGGAAGGGGAAAAGTTCCATCAAAAAGAGAAACCTAGGTATATTAAGAGGAAAACTGAAAAAACCACACCCCTGAGTAAAGACTTAAATATGAAAATATCCAACGTCAAAATTCAATCACTGGTGGTGAGTCATATACTAGGTAAATGTCATTAATCAAATAATATTCCCACATATCATATGTGGTATGGACTAACTAGAATTTGCTCATAAGCATGATTAAGAGGAAAAACAATTTTGTGCAGTATGAACTGCCAACATTTAAGTCAGCCTGACTGCTACTATACAGAAAAAAAAGAGGTTGGAAATTACATTCCGATGCACAGTGATAAGAAAATAAATCTATTAACCCTGAGCTCACAGATGAAAACCACAGATTCATCTTGCAAAGAAGAATAAACTTTTTATTAGAAAACAATCACAGGTTTTTACTCATCTGTTGAAGAGCAACACATTCCATCCCAGAGCTGGTATGACTGGACTTCCCCGAAACAAGGATTTCTGACAAACCCATTGGATCTGCAACATTTGATGGGGGAGGAACCTCTTAAGTTTCATCCAGTCCAGAGTTGTACCAAGTTTCTCAGGGCCCAGATTTAAGCAGGAGCTTGAACTGGAGGAACTTCAGAGGTTCCTTTCAAAGGAACAGGAAAGCACACTCCTTCAAGAAGGGGTAGAGTAAAGCCTGTGCAGCTTCTTTAAGTGTTAGGTGGGAGGATGCCTATGTACAGCACATGTAGGTGACCGAAAGTACAGGAAGTAAAAGGACGCACAAAGGAAAACAGTGAATGAAGTAAGACTACTTCGCATTGAAAGCCAGATTAACAACTCTCTGAGTTAACAGACAGGGACAGTGACTGAATTTTAGAGATGATACATTTTCCTCCATGCATTACCCCCTCAAATGCATAATCTCCCACCAGAAAAGTAGGGTGCTAATGCTAATTAGGGAAACTAATGCTATTAGTTTCACTACTTCATCAGGAAAATGTAGGCACTAACTAATTGAAATCCAAAACAGTGACAATATCTCTTAAATGCTATTAAGTTATTCCAGTTACACATAAAAGTGAGGGTTATTGTCTATATATATTGCAGTAGCATAGGTATAAAGAAGATACTTTATATTCTATGTTGGTATCCAGGTGTGGGAACATAGTGATAACTGCAAAAATTCCAGATTAAACAAGACAAAGTTGTAGGATTAGTTTCTCCTTTTGTCATTCTTCCATCTGTAATACAGAACAAGGAAAGCATGACATCTCCCATGTGTGTAAAGTAAGTATTTGTTTACACAACAGCTCACAAAGGTGTATTTTCTTTGCTCTACTGGAAAAAGAAAGGACAGAGAAATGTTTGCTTTATCCTACTATGCACACTGTCAACAAGAAAAGAGAAGATAGGCACTTATATAAAAACAGCAGAATAGTGACAATTCCTAGCATAACTATCGGAGCTGTTAAAAAAAAAAAAAAAGTGAAAAAGCATTTCATACCCAGTGACAGAAATATCTTTCAGGTACCTATATCAATGCAAGATGTAAATAACAATCAAGGGTTTGAGTGAAGTGCCTCTAGTTGTGATTGGTTTTCATTATGCACTGTTAGAGCTCAACATTTGTACTGCAAGGGACTTGTTCATTAATCACAGAGGTGTTGTGAACTTGTGGCTCTACCATAGCAGAAGGTGTGTTTAGTAAAGGCTTTGCATGGTTTCAAACTGTCTTCTTAGTGCTTATCACATTATAGCTGGAAGAATTAATTTGTAAACCATTATTTGCTTCAATTTTAAAGTTCGTTCATCCAGTGAATACTTAAAGGTCTAAATGTCAAACTGTATCAAGAATTTTCTACAAGGGTTACTGGAATCGTAAGAGTTAAATTAAGAAAGGAAATAGTCTTTAAAAGCCAAGAATTGTTGGGCTTTTAAGGACATTTTCCTATAGGCACTCTACAGCTGGGAGGTTTAAGAAGCTGTCTGGACAAAGCATTAGAAAACACACAGTAGGAAATGTTTCTGCATGATTAGGAAATGTTAGAAAATACATTGAAGAAATATTTCTGCATGGTTTGTGGTAGAACTGAGATATTAGACAAAGCTACTATGATCCAAAGTGGCTGGTGAGCAAATATTGGCCAAGTTACGCCAGATTACTATGGCAAAACAATAAATTGTCCCACTGCAGCAAAGCTTCAAGGAAATCAGTCACTAACCCCTACCATTCAGGATCTGGGGTAACATATCCATCTGCCTAAAAAATATTGGTATACCTCACTGTTGCTAACATCAACAAGGCTGATATGAACAGAAGGCTCCTGAAAGAAGACAGTGAAGGAAGGAATATAATGAAACAGATTGTGCACTAAACATTTATTTTGGGGAATGAGTAAGTGGGAACAGAGCTTGGCCAGCAAAAGGTAAACAAAGCCCACAAAGAAGTATAAAACTGTAAATATCCTAATGACCCACAGCGATGCTGTGCTTTTTTTGTCCCTCCATGCTGTTTGTGCAAGAAATCAATATAAAGACATAAAAGATTAAAGTGAGCACAAATAATTAACCACATTCATTTCAGGAAAGACCATACAAACCTCTTAGAGCACAAATGGAGTTGGCCTGTGTTGTAGAATCCAGCTCATCGAGTCTGACAGGGCCAGTCAGCTCACTGAGGTCAGCACCGGCAGCCGAGCACAAAAGAGGCTTTTGTAATAAGAGAACAGTACGTTCAACACAAATAATCCTACCTGCCAACAAAGACATTTCAACTCAGTACAGTAACAAGGAAAAAGGTGACCATGTTAATTGTCATGGCCAATAAAGACAAGAATCTCTGCCAGCTACTGAACCGATGAATACACTCCATCAGGTTTTCTCAATGACAAAATATTTTGCTTTCAGTGATACACGCATCGTGCTCTTGATACACTTCACAACTCCCAGGTTAAAAAAGAAGCTTTAAAAATTTTAACATGGCAGAAGAGAGTCTGATGCCACCCAGAATGCATTGAACCATGCTCCCTGCAAAGAGGTTACCATCTCTTCCCTAGCAATAAGCTTGGGCACCCCTTGAGATGGTCTTACTTTGTTTCAAATATTACAAAGAGTAGGTGCATTAGGTGCATGCAATGCTTTATTCTCCAAAGCAGAGATTTTTGCTTCAGGACACATCCACTTGCATTGTTTTGTATTTTCAGTTCACTTAAATGTTGGAAGTGACTGAAGGTGTGAGATGTGAACTATCCAAGCAGTCACCACACAGAACATAACTTGAATCTCATAAAAAAGTGACTAAAGATGAAAGTAAAGCGAACCACCATGATTTCATGATCTGTGTGGTGGCGAAGGCTAAGATGGTATAGGAGAGCTTGTAAAATCTGTGTATTCAGGGACACACGAGTTTCTTACTATTTTTGAGTCTTCTGTCAGCTAGCAAATTCAATTGACACCGGCCATCAGATTCAACAGTCACCAGGGAAGACTGACAGTAATGTTAATGGTCATACAACAAGATCACTGAATTTCTCATTTACTTTGGAGCTAAAAATATTTAAAAAACGAAACCTTATAGAGGAAAGCTCTAATTACAACCCCTTTCAAATTCCTCATGCCAAACTTGCGAAGTCTCATCTTCATCTGAGAATGGAAGTCTCTGGAGGTCACCTATTGTGGTGTCAGAGACGGGGATGCTATCTCTGTGTGACTCCAACTGCTTCAAAAACATGAGTAAAACTTACCATTTCCCCACAGTGCATCCTTGAAGAAGACAAGTCGCGAGGCAACACTGAGGGCTTCTGTGATTTCCGTACTGAGAACACATGATGCAGTGACTGCCACAGCAACAACTTTTGGAATCACATGAACCGCATCTTGCAATGTGGAGTCAGTCACAAACAACAAAATCTCTCTTTGATTTACAGGAACACTGTGTTTTGTCTATCATTTAAAAAAAAAAAAAGATATAAAATTGGAATGCAATTGTTAATTTTTTTTAATAGAATGAAAGACTAAACATTCTTATATTTAAATAATTCATAAAACTGACAGAAATTATTACATTTAGGGCTTGTACAGGATAATGAGTGAAAGCTTTACTAGAATTTTTCATTATTCCTTACTTCAGATACAAACATCTCTACTTTAAATTAACTTTCCGAGGTTGACTCTCTTGGTTTTATGAACCATTGCACTTTATCATAATTCACTTGGACTCTACCTGGGATTTGAAAATACGTTTTATAAAAAAGTATGTATTATTTATTTAGATAATATATGAGAGATATATATATATAAAGTTAACTGGATGGTTTTATTAAGGCTTACATAATTTTTGCCTCAAAAAAAAGAAGGAAAGACTATTACTTCTACTAATATTACTATTATATTAGGAATATAATTCCCAGGAATTCCAGTCCTTGGTTAATAGCTATTGTCCAGTCCTTGGCTAATGGCTACTGCAAGTTACAAAGTTGGAGCTTTTTCTTTCAGTTGAATGAATATCTTTAAATATTTCAGTGATGCATGAAGTTAAGGAAGTAGATAACTCATAAGTAAGAGATGTAGGAATCTGCAAAGGCAATGTAAGTTTTCTACCCAAGACAGGTATAAAAATATCATGATATGATTAAGATACATCACAACTAATGATGTCATAAACAAAACTCCCTACATTTCAGCTCAGCCTTTGTATCTGAAAATAATCAACACACACAATCAGGAGTGTTTTTTAAATTTTTCACACTGGGATAATGAACAAGACAGACATTACATACACATCAGTGCTTATTCCTGGATCTCTAACAAAATCAGTTGGGTTACAATTTGATGATTCATGTTTTTATTTTGTTGTTTGGTTGGTTTTTTTAACACAGCTTATAATATATATGTGTGTATGTGAATTTTCCCAAGCTTTAGAAAAATTAATTTAATGACAAAGCATATTTTGCATTTACCAATGCAAGCAACTTGTACATTTTCAGATTCTAATATTTTTAAATAATACTATATTTTAAAGTATTTAAGTAAGATTAAATTACTTCCTTAATTTGAAATGTTTTTGTTGCTCTTTTTAATTAGTCTGCTGATCAAAAATTCATACTTAAAACATATATGCCTTAATGAAATATTTGCTGCCTAGTGCATTGATGCTGTTTCTTTGCCTACTAACTACATACATTTGGGTACCTTCTCAGTGTAGATAGCATTAGGACAGCTTCAAAGAAAGGATTTTTACATCTGTCTCTTGAGAATTAATAACACATTAAAAGCTGTGCTTCAGAAGAATCATTCAAAAAGTAAATAATAATAACAGCAAAAATCACAAGTTAGTATAAAATCATCATCTTGCTATGTGTGACAATTTGTTCTGAACAGAGAGGACACAACAGACAAATAGCAGCAGGATTGAGTTATAAGGAAGGACAGCTCCTTAACCACAGATGGAATATATTTCCTCATATTCCTTCTGAACCAAAGTACGGATTCTGAGTAATAATAAAAGCATATTTCCATTCCCACTTCACACAAATTAAGTAGTATTAATTTAAGTAGTTAATACTGTAGCTACAGAGACTAAATACAAGTTTTTTAAAATACATCTGAATTAGTTCACATAGCAGATTATTTATTAATTATAAATGTGCACAATAAACTGCATAGTCCCTTCTAAATCATAATCCCCTCTAAATCATAGTCTCTTCCTCACTTATTACAACTTGGTGATTTTGCATGTCAAAGGTATGTCCTTTTGGCAAAGGCAACTGCAGGAAACGAGCTGATGTTCGTGGTTCCTCTTCTGGGAGGATTAGGCAAGTAATACACTACCTGTACATTCCTAGAGCAGTTATCCAGAAAGTTAAACATAAGAAGAATATCTTCTATTGCTTTTCCACCATTACTTTCAAAACAATAATTTCACTTATGAAAATTTAGTGCTTACAGTTTGGTAAGTGAATAGTCATTAAAAAAACAGTTCTGAGTAGAAAAAAAAAATCATAGACTACTTTTTCTGTTAGTCAATATTCCATTCTTCAAAATCACATCTGTTCCTGCATGCTTCAACTGTAATTCAGTGATGAAGAGTTTTTACAGAAGAATACTGATGACCCACATTAGCATCTCAGATGTAGACATTCCTGAATACAAAAATGTTTGGCTAGGATGCCTCTAGTCTGCAAGTCTGCAATTTTATTTTATTTTGCACTAGAACAGGTTTCTTGGAAAAAGAAGTTAACACATGTATCTGTCTTTCTGTTAGAACCCTAAAGATCCCATCAAGCTAGCACTAATTTCAAGTTTGCAAATGCTCTGTTACATTCTCGCTCAGCATGCAGAAAACATGATACCCCTCGTCTTTGGAGTTAAAAGTACTCCCTGCCTAAAAATTAAATCATAACTCATTGGCTTCTGAAGCAAAAGGGCAAGACCTAAATTAAATTTATGTCTCACACTGGTGGGAAGCATCTCCAGCTATTTTGCTGGCCGTTCTGGAATTTCTTTGTCTTTGGTTCATATGCTTTGATTCACACTTTGTTTCTTGTGGAGCTGATGGACAATTGCAAATTATTCTCCACCAGAATTCAGTGCTGGCTGTACTAAGGATCCAGTCGCCAGGAAAAAATAAATAAATCAGCAACAAGAAATTCCTTTAACTACTAAGGGAGTTAGCAACATTTTGAAAGAAAATTGTAGCATCATTCAGAAACAAATAAAACATAATTGTAAGCTTTCCGGCACAGTATGGATGGCAGATGTATTTACCTAAGACTTCCTCCCTTTTACTACTTACTGGACCATAAAAACCAAATTTGCCTGAGGGGCTTCATTGGAAGTCAATGAAAATCATCCACACACTTGCATGAAAAGAACAAAACTGTATTTTTATATAACTATCATCTGTTCCATTCTATGCCCCAACATTCAACTGACTGGGAGCAATGCATAGCAAGAATTGCTGTGTACTTAAGGACAGCATTTAGCTATAAATGGAGTTTCAGCTGCAAGCTCCCTTTCCAGGGTGCGAGATTATCTCTGGTAAGATAGCAATTTATTCAGGAGTAATTCACTTTCTCAACTGAGCAGCACTGACACTGGAGATGCAATTCATTTCCCATATTCACAAGCATTTTAGAAGTGGTGATAATTCTGCCCATACAACTCTTGAACTTAATTCCAGAAGGCTTTGGGTTTCCTCCTCAACAAGATGAATGATGGCTTCTTCACATAAACAACATGCTGATTTTATGTTGAATTCATTACTTAAGTGAAAAGATTACCTGCAGCCTTAGATAGAGCACTTGCGCCCCAAAGCTACAACGCTTGTTAGAACCATCGATCTGAAAACAGTACAAAAATAGAGAATGAGACAAACATGATACCAGAAATCCAGTGGTAAAAAGTACTTGTTATCTGATTTGTAAAGCAGATTACCCGAAGAATTTCCTTTAGACCATGAACAGCTGGTGGCTGGTACAAATTAGAAATCTGTTCTTCCTCATCCACTTCCACATGTACTTCACCAGACTGAACAGTAAGAATATAACAGAAGCTGGGAGGAGGAAGATTAGTTGTCATCTATTAAAAAGTAAAGAAAAGAAAAGTGACCTTAAAACAGGCACTTTAATTTGGCCAGTTGAGTTTTTCAATAATAGGCAAAACGAACACAACAACTTATATTTTAAGAGAGATGTGGAAACAAAATTATATGGTTAATAACAAGGACTCTGGTGTAGAAGCTGAGTTAACAAACAAACATTCACAAGTTATAAGTGAAATCAGCTTGTGTGCATCATTCTTTCCATAATCTGACGTTGATCCTCATCACAAAAACAACTCATGATTTGGCACACTTGGCAAACACAGTGACCCTTTCAAGGTGTTTTTTGTTGTTTTGCCTTTTTTTATTATGTGGCAGGAGTGCCTTGATTTTTTTTTATTTTTTTTTTTAATGTCCATAACTTTTCTGAGATTTGGGGACTTTTGCATGTGGGTGGGTTTTTGTGATAGTAAACAGCTGCCGAGCTTTTAAAGCCGCCAAATTAAATCCAGGACAGCACAAGGAGATAATGAAGAACAGGAATGCAAGAGCTGCAAGAACTGCTCTCTTTGTGTTATGCCAGATTTTTCTTTCTCCCTTAAAAAGTACCATGACGTAACAACTTTATCAACCACCACTTAAAGAGGTCTCAAACCAGAAAGACTTGTCAGAAAAGACAATGTTAGAAGATCATTTTTATGGCAAAATACTCTTTCAGCAATATTTGTTGTTAATAAAGCATCTAATTTAATAGAAGAAATATGAATCTACTTAAGACAGCTGCCCACCCATTAAAAAGAATCTGTATAATGAAAAAAGCAAAAAAGCTGATACCCAAACTCTGTTTGCCTCTGACAGCACTAAAGAAGGCATTTGAATGTATATATGGCTCAAAAGAAATCAGTTCCATAGATCTCTTCCCAATAACATTATCATCATGCTGGCGATATTATTTATGTACCTGTATATAAAACTGCTTCCATAAAACTGTGCATAAAGCTATAATGTTTGTATCAAGAAAAATGTGTCTCAGGTGAAAGACATCCACTCAGCCAAAAACATGCAGCATCAGAATGCTAGTTATGATTCTTCGTGGAATGAATTACCATTTCAAACCCACGACAGAAGCGTAAATTACATGGTTATGCAAAGTTTCCTCCATTTTTAGATTGCTAATAAAATAAAAAGAATGAGAGTCAACAACCTTAAACAACATTTAAGAGCTTTGCTCCGTCCGTGGGTATTCCCAATTCTGTTGCCCACACTATTTTAATGTAGAAGACCATTTGTTTCTCTGAGACTTTTAAAACATCTAGATGAAAGTGAGAGTTAAGGAGAGTACAGCTATTTCACTCAGTTTCAGTCTTGATTTTATATATATAACTAAGGTCTGAATTTTTTATTCTTCAGTATAACCCTCTGGGCAGTGTAAAGAACACTCTACACTGGAGATAAAAGATTCTCAGACTTTAGAAATAACCAGTAGTATCTATCTTTAATGCTCCCTGGTTTTGAAACTTGTTTATTTCCAGCTTTCTCCTTTATTTATTTTTTTCTAGAATCTGCATCCCACTTGACTCCCCTATGGTCTAAACCAAATTTTTAATACCACAAACTTCTTCCCCAAAGAACAGCCTATTCAAGACGAACACGCGCTTGGCTACCCAGAAGCTTCTCAAATGATCTCATATTACCAAAATGACACTTGATATGACAGAATTCCTTTTCAAAGACAAAAGCTAATTAAAGGAAAATTAGAGATGTTAATTGAGCTTTGCAAATACATAGTAACACACTTTAAATCCATTTTTATACCTCCCCACCCCGTAAAATCAGAGAAACATTGATTATTTTAGCAATTACTTTTGTTTTCATCCTTCTACTGACCTCACATGAAATAAGTATCAGTTAAGTCATCCTAACTAGAACAAGACCTGCTTCCAGCAGTCAGTCTTCACAGAAGTTAATCTTCGGAAAAGTGATTTCAAACCTAAGACTAAAAAGTCCTTGTAAAGCACGAGTTAGCATCCCTGTATTTCTCAGCTGGCTCCATGCTATCTACTATCTCTTTTCTCCTGCAAGGAGAAGAGAGGAAGAACTTGTCTGGACATCTTACCATTCTAGCTGTAGAGGATTAATAAGGGGTTAGTTGCATCATTTTGGAAAGATGCTGCTGATCCAGAGGGCTTCAGGTTGGCCTGTGAGGTTGTCAGAATCAGCAAAACAAAACTTGGGAGGTAAACACAGGGAAAGAATCTTGATTCCCAAAGTAAACATGATTATACCACCAACAAAAATACTAGTTGTGGGTGAAAAAATTCATACCCATAATAACAAAACTTACCATTTCAGCGTCTTGACTTTGTCCGGGAACTTTTACAGGCACTACTGGAGGCCACAGACTGTCTATCAGACTAAAAAGTCCTAATGCCCTTCAAAGAGACCAGTAAAATCAGGTTTAAAATATTTTCCAGTGTTACACATTATATTAAAAAGATTCATTAGGAAATGTAATTTAAACCATTGCACGATTATGAAAACAATTTAAAATCATATTTGTTTTCTGGAAGCTGGTTTTGATTTGGTCTAATTAAATCTCCATCATTTCTGCTGCAGGGTGGAGAGGGAGGGAAGGGATGTATCACATCCACTGACAAAAAAGTCATATTTAATCCTTTGTCACAAACAACTTGCTACATGATAAAATTCAGGGGAACTGGGGTAAATGGTAGCTTGGGAAGGACACAGACACCAGTATAACTTCTTTTAAAAAATACCTTTAACTATTAAAAAAAAAAGGGTTGTTTCAAAATTTTTCATTTCTTGTTATTTGTTGCCAACAGCTGTTTGTAACTCCTGTCAGGAAAGTCAGTAATTATCAGATATATAGAAACAGGCAAGATTTTGTTATCTTCAGTACATGTGCAGAGGATGATCTCCTTCCTACACAGTTGCTCATTTAGTTATGATTTGTACTTGTTTATTTATTTTGCAAGTTTCACACTTCTGATTTAAAAACAAACACTAAATTAACAGCCTAGCATATCAAGGTAAGATGTAGCAGACTCTTTAGCAAACAAAGCTGTACTCTGCAGCAGTTCAGTGGCTGCCTTGTGAGTTGATGGAGCATCCTTGCTGGACAGGGCAGGAACATCCGAGGGAGAGGCCAGGAAAACAACTGAGGGAGGGGAAATAGCTACAGATAACCAACTTGAACAGGCATGCATTTCTGAGTTAAAGCTCTGAGTTATCTTGTCCCAGTCCTCTGTTCTGTGCAGTTAAAGCACTGAGATCTGGATTTTAACCCCACACTGACCCTATGAACAAGTTGTCTGTTCCTCCAATTAAAAAACCCCCAGTATTTCTGCAGCAGCTTTAACAAATCAAGTCCAAAATTTGCTAGAAGTAGTATTATCTTCTAAACCCAACTGTTTAGAAGGAAACCACATACTCTGGTACAGGCCTGAAGCATGTTGCATTATGCTGCTTCTCTTCAAGGGGTCATGGAAACTTTCATTTTAAAGTTCTGCTTTTAGCTCACTTCTGCTTAAGCTTACTTATTTCTGCATTTCCCTAGTCCTTCTCCAGATCCTGAAATGCTTAGATTTTGGGTGTCTACAGACGCTGAACTTCTTACCACATTTTTTTCATGAAGTGCCATGTATTGTCTGTGATTCAGTGTTAATAGTGATGCCTTTGGACCAGCACTGCAAGAAATTTTATGGATGCAACTCTCAAAGTAGATCTTGTGGAATAAAACTTGTGGTTCACAATTCAGTAGCAAACTGGCAGAGTGAAAAGATGATGTTGCTACCTGTAGTTGCATTCTCCCCACTAATGAACAGACCAGAAACACCAAAATATCCCCTTTTAGAGAAATGAACTTCCTGACTTACACAGCATCAACCCCAAGGCTGTAAAAGGAGAATGCTGAGCTCAAAGACTGTGGTGGGGTTTTTTTGGTTTGTGTTTTGATTTTAACAGTGAGACCATTAAAACACACAAAGCAACATTTCTTAGGTATTAAAGAGATTTTACAGCAAACTGACTACTTCTTGAATCCTTGACCTGGGCAAGATTTTCTGGTTTGTATTGTACAGAAGCATGTCCCCTCTGCAGACACAAGAAGGGTCAATGCCCACAGAAACTAACTCATCTTGCTAACTGGGAGATGAAAGAGGGGAGTTACAAAAAGAGAGCACAACCTTCTGTACAGCTCATGTAAGTGGCCTTCCTCACATAACCTGCAGCACAAGGGCAGAGCACAGATATGAACATACCACAAACTCTGTGCGTGTACAGAGCAACTAAGCTATGTTGTTGCTTGTTCATGTCTCCATACAGACCTTACACTAATGTCTCATCTGTATTTTTAAGTGAAGTTTTCCTTTCTTCTTTAGCTCTCTTCCAACTGTTATCCTTTGCCAGAATATCTAAGATATATGATACATTTTCTCCTACTCCTTGTGTCCTTTCGGAGAAGGCCATCTACTGCTTGAACTAGGAGCACTTAATTATTAGTAAATGACAGAATTTGTTTGCAAGCAGGCAGAGGGTCAATGCTGTGTGAGGAATGTCTCCTGAACATCTTGGCCCCGTTATTTCTTTGACACCAGTCAGGCCAAGGGCAGAGACATTTGCCAACCAAAGGATTTGTAAGTTCCAAATCACATCCTGCTGGGATCCTTGTGTACCAGCTGGGATGTTCTCTCCTGGAGCTGTCACTCCATCAGTTGGTGTCCCTGGTGAGGAGCTCCCCTCTTGCTCCACCCACTAATATGCCTCCAAGAAAGGTAACTCTCTCTTTACACTTATGCACTTGGACTTAGCAGAGGGGGAAATTAGTGGGGGCACTGACAGTGAAGAAATAACAAAGGCATTGTGTCCTCTTCTGTAGAAAATCACTATCCTCATAGAAAGAATAAAAATTAATTCTCTTTTATTGCCAAGCAACACTCAAACCCCATTTCAATCTGACTTGAACAATGGGTGTATTTTATCCAATATGTGTATCCTTCTGCAGCTATAGAGTCAGGAAAAGAGATGAACAGCTGGCTCTGTGCTACAGTGAAGGGACATGGTTAGCTCCCATGTGCACAAAGAGCCTCCCTGGCGACAGAAGACAAAAAAAAAATGTTAAAATTTTGCTCTGTGAGTGTAATTACTAGTTACTGTCTTTAAAAAAAAAATCATTTTAATAACAGAAGGACAGACTTCTAAGAAAGGAAAAGCAGAGTGAGAAGTGAGAAGAAACAGGCTCAAAGATCAAAAAGAAAAAAGAACATATAAAGTATTTAGAATAACTTTTTTTTTTTTTACTTCAGAAACTAGAGCTCTGTTGTAGTACTCTATAACTTTTCTTTGAAAAAAACAACAAAAAAAAAGAATCTGTATCAGGAGAAGGAAAAAAATAATCTATCAGATTCTAAATGACTCATCTCTCAACTTTCCATGCCAGATTTGAACCTATGTTTGGTAAAAAAAATTTTGTCTCATCATAATATGTCTATTGTTTAACACCAAGACAATAAGATCACCAGTAACTCCACAACTCCAGTGCAGTGTTACAGCATAGATTTCCAAAGAAATATGGACTTGGGACAGGCAGGTATGCCTCTCTTCTGTAAACCCACATCTTCAAGCTTTGCTTATATATAATGGGACTTTTATATATGCGTGTGCCTATATACATACAATATGCAAAAAAAAATGTGTAGTGTCTTTAATTATTTTTATTATCCAATGTCTTCAAAAAGCATCTCTCTCAACTTAAACTTTCCTTGCTAAACTTCATCACATCTTTTCTCTGTATCCACAAATGCAAACTGACTGCTCTGACAGCAGTAAGACAATTTTAAAGATTTAATACTGTTCAACAGGTTCAAAACATCACTGAGAATATGCAGAATAGATGTGCGATACTTGCAGAAAGTAATCCTGCCCTATTTAACAAATCACATTAAACTACTCCACAGCAAAATCACTACAAGATAGGAGTGATACTAATAAAATAGCATTTACTTTTCCCTCACTGGGATTCTCACCATATGTGATGACTGTGCTGCTCTGCAGAGAAGTTGCTTTAGTTTGCTCACCTAACCACCTTTCTTCTCAGTCTCACAGCTCAATAGGAGACAGAAGTCACCTTCAGCTTGTAACCTTCCTGGCTTGTTTTGCCCTTCACTGCAGTCAAATGGCATAGACTGGTATGTGCATACATTCATACTCCTATTTGCTCAATGATTTTTGGTAAAAACATACAAATAAAGAGCAAAGCCATTGTAACTATATTTAGACATCCAGTAAACTGACAAACGAGTACTTAGGCTATCAGCACCTCTCTGATCCTGTGGAAATTCCATTCATTTATACCGCAAGATGTACTACAAAAATCAAACAAGTCCAAATTTTAATTTTTCAAAACTGTATTTCACTGACTCTGAATTGACAACTTCCTTCATAACTTAATAAGGAGATTTTGTTTATTTCTGTTAAGTACATGAGGTTTCAGTTACAGTTCTGGTCCAAGAACTTTGTGTGTGCCATATCTGAATCAACTTTTAACATACAGCTTATAGGCTGCGGTATTTTTTGACTTCAATAATCATAACACAGTCTCAGGGGAAAATTATAACAGGGAGAAAATATCAGCAATGTCAAAGAGAGTTAAAGGAAAAGAGGGTCCATAAATAGGAAAAGAAGAAACACTATGTAAGGTTTACAGCAAGGAACAGGAAGATGATAGGATTCTCTTCCAACATCTTCCACAGATTTGCTCTGAAGACTCCAGACTTGGCACTTCTCTGCTTCCTCCTCTCCTACTTCTTACAATTTTATTTTAAAACAAAACAGTTTTCTTTGGCAGTGTCAGTCTCAATTATTAAGAACTCAAAAATAAAGCAATTCCTAGCCCTCTGTGGAAAACTAAGAAGAAATTCCTAAATAATCACCTAGACTGCATAAGCTTCAACTCTCAAGGGACAAGCAATCCAAATAAAAAACTCATACTGTAGGCTACCTCTCCCTTTAACTGACCTACTAAGATCTTGCAGTGCACAAACTATGCAACACCACATTTTCTCAGACTTCAGTAATAAAAGAAACAAAGCCATAAAGTAAAAATCTGAGCCTAGTAAATGAGTATCTCAGTCAAAATACAAACAGGGAGGAAGGGCTGCTGATCTCTTCTCCCTAAAGTTTTGTTTAGATATATGAAATTATTTTGTTAAATAATTTACATTAATAACTCAGTTTTCTATAGTGCATTAGACGCTACATGTACTACATTAAACCACTGAAGTTTATAAAATAAAAATACTTTCGGTTCAACATGGATATGCCTGTGTTATTCTCCAATGTTGGTTACTAAACAGATTAATGACAGAAGCACTGAAGATACAAGTAGAAGTCCATGCTTATTAAAGAATAGAAAGCTCAGGAGATAAAAAAGATAATTTCTGATACATCAGCAGTCATAGAAATTGATTAAAAAGTAATGCAAATATTCAAAACTTCAATATGATTACTGAAATTATGCTTTATATGGAACTCAGCTTTCAACCACAGCAATTACTGAAGTGTTTCAGGACCTCAAAACCTCAGAGACGTGGGTGGCTCTTCTAGATGGCAGTCGTTTTGGAGGAGGGAAAACCAAAGGAAGGAAGTTATGACCTCCTTGCTCTGTGGAGAGCCCTTACTATTACATTTCCTGTCTATGTCTAGCAGTTGAAACACTTGTGTATCAGTTAGCAGTGGTCCTCTCTTCTGAGGGCAAAGCAAAACGAAGAGAAAGTACACAGTGAAGAGTAGAGGGAAAAAAAGGAGAGAAACAGAGGCCAGAAAAGCATGAAACTTAATTAAAAAGAAAAGAAGAAGAAAAAAAAAAAGAATGAAAACCCTCAGGCACAATAGTGACCACTATAGACATAGAGGGAGATTTCACATTTCAGTGTCTAACATTTGAAAGTTTAAAATGACAAACAACAGAAACCAACTGTATTTGAAAATGCAGAAATTTGTCAGAAAAACTTAACACTGGTTGTTTAACTCTATTCAGAGTCTACTTACTTTAGAGGAAAATCCAACAGATAGTACAGCCTGTTATGAATTAAATGTTGGCTCAAATGCCAAAGCCTATGAGTTGATGTACCCTTCTAAATGTTTTAACCTATTCAACTTAAGCATGGATTTTAGTACTATCAATGCAATAACTGCCTCTTTTTTTGAAGCTTATTAAGTGTTTTTTGACTTTAGGGACAAAATTTGTACTGCCACCCTGTGTTCTTCCTCCTCCCTCCCTTTATAAATGGATGTCATCTATCCATTCTGCTGAAACTCTTCATATTTTTAACATACAAGAAAGCCTAAAAGGAAGAAGTAGGTATGTGCTATACAACAACTCAATGCTTGGAAAATCAGGTGAAAAGACACAAATGGTCAAAATCTAAATTATAATTCTGTGTGGAACTCCAGTCAGGGATAAAGACATAAAATTAATAGTTTTTGTCAATAAAGACACATATCCCAGCTCATTGAAATTAACTTCTGGTAGGAAGCAGCAACTATGACAATTTACAGGTTATTTACTCCTGAGGCATTTTAGTGAGTGCTCAGTCCCTGCACCTCATTGCATCCATTTAGTTACTGGTTATACCAGACATACCTGAAACATGCCTGGGATCTATTAAGCTCGGGGGGGTTATAATTTATACTGCATATGGATTCATAACCAACATTCCTGCCTCTAGCTGCACACCATCAAAATTTCACTTCCTCTTTCTGAAAGGGCTGAATTTAGGAGTGACACACGAGGTAATGGGAGGACAAGAGCAAGAACACATGCCTCTAAGGAGCCAGCACCACCAATCAATGAACATTTTTCAGTCTTTTCCCCTTCAAACCACTGTAACTTTTTTATTCTTTTTTTTGCTGATACTAAGCATGCAGTTCAGGGAGTAGTTGCAGGAAAGGCTAAGAGACAAGTATGAATGAGAGAGTTAAGAGAAAAGGTGTCAGGAAACAGATACCAAACCACATAAATTAATTCAGCTGCTACAATACGGTTTCCTACCTTTTCCAACAGCCTCAAGAACAGGGTAGAACTGCTGGAAATTGGACACTGAAAAAGCCATGGCAACTCTGCCATGACTCAGGCATGTCCGTCTGTCTTACAGGATTGCCAGAAACTGGGTTGCAAAAGGAAACATCACTTCCTTTACTGGACTGCAAGGGGAAGGATTTCTTGAAGGGATGGTTTGGGGTAGTATGTTTTATGTGTGGTACGGGACTTTTTCTGGAAACCACCTAAATCAGTGAAAGACCTTCAAACAACCTAGTACAAAACTCTTAAACTTGTTTGAATATGAGTATCCAAAACCAATATTCAACATTAACAGTGTTTCTCTCAAAGAAAGATTACTACAATTTTTTCACAGGGCTGACCTTGATCAAGGCAAGACGTGGTTGTGTAAGTTCTTATCCCACTTTTCTTTTGGAACACAAATGTTTTCTTACTGGAGAAGAAATGGGTTTAGTCTTCAGCACATCTCATTATGGGTCCATTCCAAAGATCAAGTAACGCTTAGAGCCAGGTTTTTGCCTGAATGTAAACTACTCTTTATTACAGGTTTATAGGTTTTTAGTCCTTGAAATGCAACTTCAGCTTAACAACAGTGATTTTCAAATTGCATTCACTGGAATGATGTTAAACATTAGATACTTGATGATGAGGATGGATGATGGCCTGGAAAATTTTCTGAACAATAGCAGTGGTCCATTGATGCAAAATGCTTGAGAACTTCTTGTATCTATTAGCAAATCTCCTCTGTCTCATGGAGGGATGGAGGAAGCACTCTGTCTCTGATTACAATCCATGTGACTGTGGGACAACATGCACATATGGGATCTTATTAGCCATTCCTGGCTTTCTCCAGATCATGTGCTTCAAAGGCACAAGGAAAAAAGTCATTACTTTTCCCTCGTATTTCCTACATTTTATTCCCTTTTATCCATTTTAAAAGCCACTGTCAGACTCCAGGAAACAAAAAGTTTAAAAGTCATCTCCTTCCAAAAAGTAATTGGTGTTCTCAAAAAAAAAAAAAAAAAAAAAAGGCACCAGTCTTTCTTGCAGGGCAGACCACATAGTTCTTATTCACTCATATGCTGCAAGCCAAGGTTGGGCACTCACAGGCACATCCCATCATGTGTTCGGATATACCACTGGCTCTGGAAATCCATTTATCCAGTGGCAATGAATTCTACAGCTTAATTATGCTCCCTGTGAATAAGTACTCCCTCATATTCATTTCAGCTATGGCTTTGCTGTGGTTTCCATCACACCTAGAATGTGTCCCAAACACTTAAAAGTAATAAAAAGTTATAAAGCAGAACTTAGGCTAAAACAATTAAGAAAAAAATAAATCCCTGAACAATTCCTCCACCCACCCATCTTGTACAATGAAATCACGTTTTAACCACTGCACTGTCCCCGAAGCTACACTAACCATTTTCTTTTAATGTTCCCTAGCAGGGTTACCACCAGCACAGCTCCAGCTGAGCCACCAGCATTTTCAGCAGTGTGTCTTCTAATCATCCTCAGAATAGCCAGAAGTAAGTTGCTGCTGCTTTGAAATAGAATTTACATTAGAAAAAGTCTGTCTCTTATTAGCTAGGCAGAGTACTGGAAGCACCAGCAGCCAGTTGTAAAACTTCATTTGTATCCAGAATTCCAAAGCCATTATTTAATTTGTTTGGAAAAAATGTAACTCGGAAAAAAAGCCAACAAAATAATTAAATAAGAAGACGTGTTTGTTATTAAAGGTCCATAAAAATGCAAGTAGGCTTGAAATCCAAAGGATCTGAAAATTAACACTGCAAGTACATAAAAAGAAAAGCATACTGAATAGGGCTGGCTGGAAAACAACAATTCCATTTTGCTAAACATTTCAAGGCTTTGAAATTTGTTTTTGTTCCAATATGAAACAAAAATGAGACTTTCTCAAAGTTTTCATGAAATGAGAATGAGAGAGAGAATATTCACTCCCTCTGGACCTGAAAAAATCTTCCCAACAAAGTTGTCTCCAAAATAGATAATGTTTCCATGAAACATTCTGGTTTTGATGAAACAGCATTTTTCAACAGGAAAAAAAGTGTCAGCAGAAATATCACAGCCATTCTTAATAGCAAAGGCTTATCTAGATCGGAGCCTTGTACGAATAAATTATGTTGAGAACTGAACCAATCTAACTATATTTATATAGGTCCCCATGAGAACACTGTATCACTTTCCCTAGAAAGATACTTGATCTATTTAATTTTTTCTCTTGACTAAAGTTATTTTGTTTTACTCAAAGAATGTAAAAGTAATCACAGAACAAGCAAAATCTGAGAGGTACTGTAAGTCAATTTGTAACTTACCTGAGGGGATTTTTCTATAAACCTGATGACATTCTTATTTCAAAATAGGATTTTTTTTTTTTAAGAAACTTAAACTATGGTTCTAAAGCCATATAGACTTAACAGAATTAATAGTCAGAGAAAGCCTATGCTTGAAACTTCAACACATACTGGGCAGCACTGTAGAAAAACTTATTGCAGTAAACGTTCTGCAATTAAACGGAGGTGGACTAATGTTTTCAAGTCTCTGAATCTACTGAAGAGGAAGAAGACACTCATATTTTATGAAATATTGCATACAGCAAGCCCTTTCTCTGTTAAGGGTGTATTTGTGCGTTATTTGTAGCTTATTTATGCTATTTTGGAGTGCAGTGGGCTCAAGTACAACTGGATGCCCCAGAAGTAGCAATGAGGACATTTAATCGAACAGAGGCAGGTTCAGTTGTTTTAAAGAATGTTGGTCACAGAAATAAATAAAAAGGAAGATCATCTCTGCCTGCCACATCAACCAATATGTTCTCCCATCAATTGTTCTCACCTTCCTCTTGTGGTTCTCTGTAAAATTTTCATTCCAGCTAAGCAGCAGAATTTTCCTTCCCACCTCCTGCAGTACTGTTCAATGTCATCTGTGGAACTCAGGGACTGCAGCTGCACTTCACTGAACATGCCATAGGCATCCTGGACAAGGAGGCATAACCTGCAAAACATTCCTCGGTTACTCATTGGCTTGTCTTCATAACAAACCAGTGAGCAAATTTCTGAAAACTGTATTACGAACTTCAGGACAGGGCTTATGCTCTACAATATTCTGCAGAATTCCTATCATATAACATATCAACAAAACCAAGAGATTTTGTTTCATTAAAGGTTTTTCTTATGTACATTTTCAGGAGGTAACAGAGCCATGAAATAGAGAAGCATGGCTGAAACAAAGTGTATGAGGCTTGCACTGGGGATCAGGATGAATTAACTGTTATGCACTATGTAGTTTGTGTACATATAAAGAAAGAAAGTTGAGATTTTGCCTTAGTTAAGGTGAATTCTGCAATGCAGACAGAGCAATGACAGAAACATATATGTGTGTACAAATACAAAAACTCTGCTTAGAAGTAAATAAAGCAACATATTTCACAAGCAATAATCACCAACCTCTGAAACTGGCAAAGCAAGCATTACATTTTCTATAACATTTTTTTTATAGAGTTCTGAGGAGGCAGAAAAGAGTGAAACATCAATTTTTCTTTTTAAAAAAACCCAACACGTAACTGCAGATTGGTTTATTCAGTATTGGGTATGAGGAAGCCCTGAGAAGCTATTTTAAGAAGGTAATTAAAGAACCTGCTAAACAAACAGTTTGATTAATCTATGGAAGATGGGGCTGTGGGGCTGGGAAGTATTGCTTAACCAACTTGCTGGCATTTTGAGAAGATACTACTGTCATAACAGATAAGGCAAAATCAGTGGATGTCATACTTTTAGACAGTCAGAAACGCATTTCACAAGATTCTGCACCTGAGATGAGCAGCCTTGATAGCATGAGTCATGCAGGGCTGGAGGAAGGAGGCTGCTGTCTATGAGATGGGTTTAATTGCCTCAGAAAGAGACAGTTAAGCATGGAAACTCTTCAAAGGAAGGCAAAAATTACCTTTGAGGGTAGCACATGCATCTTTATTTCTATATAAAACTCAGGCGTGCACTAGGGAGCAGAATTCAGTTCATTTCATGCCAAAACTACCTTCCCCAGAGCATCACCACTGTTCACAGCAAACCAACTCCAACTGCTTTTGGAGCACATCGTAATATACACACATCCTGAAACCATTCAACAGTAGTCATTATATCTTTATAAATTGCATTTTAAATTAAACGAGTTCCTACATTGAAGAAATCCATGTATTTTCTTTGCATGGAAAATTAGGCACGTGGAAGACCATTAATCACACTTTCCTTGTTTGTTATAAACTGTCTAGCTTTGGCTTGCACCCTTAAGAAAGCTGTATTCAACATAAGATATGACCACAAAGGCTTTCAGACATCAGCAGTTATGCGAGCACCAGCTAAGAGTCCTCATTTTTCAGACACTGGTGCTGGTTTTAAGGAACAGGAAGGGGTAGGACTGGACACAAACAAAGGCTCTTGTATTTTCCCCGTGGACCTACGAGGGTCCCACACAAACAGAGTCATCACTAGAAAAAAACCTCCAAAACAAACTAAAAAAACCCTGTGTTTGCTTGCTGCTTTCCATGTTAGGACTTTGCAGTCAGTTAAAAACTCCCCTGAGTTTTAACTGATTTGACTGAAACTCCTTGTGATGCTGTTTTGCATGGAAAACCAGAGCTCGTATTCTCTGGACATCTCTGAAAATCAAATTGAGGGGAACCGGAAAAACAAAGCAAACAGTTTTGCCTATGTTAACAAAACACTGACTGTTAATTGTGAAAAATTAGGCCTCCATATCATGGAGCAAAGAAGGGCCAACTGAGTTAGCGTCTCAGATCAGATCAGTTCAGCAGTCTCTTAACTGATCACTGGGATTTCTCATATCTTTAGTGAGACATAACTGAACATAAGTAAGTCCCAGACTAGCTGGCACCAGGGTCATATTAAGTCCTCTGGGACATGTTAATTGCCCAAATAAAATTAGCTTGGTTGGTGCTGAAGGCATCAGTCACTAAAAGTGCATTTTCCAAGTCCTTTTAAGTCAAGCAATGAGATGGTTTCTGTCAGACACAGGAGCCTCAGCTCCCCACATCCCTGGCCACAGATTTCCATCCCTTTGTGGTGGCAGCATAAATGGCTGGGACAGGAAACTGATCTGACCAAAAAAATACTGTAGCCAAATCACCATCATCATCATCATCATCATCTGAGTTCCTTGAAAATTAACTCTGCAGAAGTAAATGCCTGTTTGCATGGAGTACTACTTCTAGACAAGGATGTATTTTCCTCGAAGCTCTCACTCCAGCTGTCCAGATGCAGCACGACATCTCAGGTCATATGATCGGAGAATGGTCATCTTATGACCAAGCTCAATGCACTGAAGAACTGTGTAATTTGAGGCTCCTATCAGTAATGTTCCTATTCACACTAGGAAAACGCTCATGATTATTGGCATCACGGAGGAATACAGGGCAGCAGAACCTATTGCATCAGATCTCAAGTACTTTTGCCCTGCCAGGTTCGTACACATGAGCAGACAGACACTATACTACACTTGTTCTAACAGTATCCAAAAGATAGTCATGATTTCTCTGCAACATGCATTTAAAATTATATGCATATGTTCACTGCCTTGGAAGACAGAATTTCACAAATAATTTTCAGATGCCCAATTTCAGACTTAAAGAGGAATATACCAAACAAATGCCATGAAGAGAACTTCACAAACACATGGTCCCTGCTTCACCCTTCTTTTAAAACAGTATGAAAGAATGATGGTAAACTCTTGAAATGCTACAGGTATTTAATGATGCGTGACAATCGATTTTCCTACTTAATAACTACCATGAAATCAGCTGTATCCCACAACAGACTCAGTGATGCACTTGGAGAACCATGCTCCTGTTCCTTGAAACTCGTTCCGTTCTATGGATTTTGTATATGCTGTCAGCATCACTGACAGTAGTCTGGCTGTTGATTCATGACCTTAACTTCCTCAACAGCACTGGTTCCTTGATTTCACTTTATCCCCAGAAAAGTGCATGTGTATTATTTTCCCATGTTGCAGTGTTGCTCTCATATTACAGTAAATGTGCTTGCAAATTAATTTTTAGTAGGAAGTCTAACTGTGATTTAAGCAACAACTTGTCCCATGATTTTTTCCCCCTTTGAAGCTTACTACCAGGATAAAATCCCACATCTAAATTATGAGACAAGCTGCAAAGTCAAAATTAGGATCTGCCCCTTGGGAATTCAGTATTTATGTTTTGTGCACATCTATCACAAACACTTTTTTTTCATAAAATGTGGGTTCGTACTGAATCAGTTAATCAGTACTCAACTGTTTAAAAAAAAAAAAAAAGACAGGCAACATCTCCAATTTAATCAGTGGTGCTTATGTGGGGAGGAAATAATGGCCATCTTTATTTTTGGGACAACAGGATGCAACCCTGTGTAAGACCTCAGTTTAAGACATGGTTTTGGAAACTGAAATTTCTCATGTAAAATAGCAGAATTCACTCCAGAAGAGTAAGGGGTATCAGGAAAGCCAGTAGGGGAGCAAATGTGGGAGAGCAGACTAAGGAAAAATTGAAGTATGACGCATTGGTAATAACAAAGGGGGCGAAGATAGGAATGATAAGAACTGAGGCAGAGATTAGCTTTTTTTTTTTTTTTTTTTTTTGGAATAATGACACAGTAAGTCTCATGCAAAAGCTTGGGAAGATTTTGTTAATTTGTTAATAGCCGGGAGCAAGGATGGGGGCTGGGGGAAGATGAGACTGATTACTCCGCATTATTTCTATGACTGTGCTGATCTTTAGGACAAAATGTCTGACAGTAGAAATCTGGAGAGGCTTATAGGATTACTGCCATGCCCTTCTCCCACTTAGTCACTCTTCATGGGTGAAGGGTAAACCCTTCTTTTACTATTATTTTTTATGCATGAAAAATCATATCCCTCCACACTGCTGCCTTGTACCAGGCAGCTAAATTTCTGGAGAGATAAGGGCAACAAAAACCTTTTCATTTTTGGTCACCTCCAGCCTCCTCAGCAGCTAGTGGAAAAGACTAAGAAAAGGAAGATCTTCCTGCAGAGGAGATGAGAGTGCATGGAGGCCAGAATGGACTGATTACACAGGCACTGCTTTTACCAAGTCTTGTGAAAACAAGCAGCAGAAATTTGTCACAAACAGATCGTAATCAACAAATAATTGTTTTACCCTTGGGTAGGAGGACAACTGTGTGGGCCACAGCAGCTCATCTCCATGCACAGCTCAGCTGTGCAGTACAGCATGAGGAGGAAGATGGCCATGCAAACACCACCACCTCTGCAGAGCTCTGCAGCGACTTCATTAGTTGCTCTTCCTTTGGAAGGCAGAGAAAGGGGGGAACGGGAAAATGTCCGAAAACTAACTGACTTGTATTAGCTCTGATATTTGTTCATTCTTTATCTTAACCATCCATGAGACAGCTGCTGCTGCTGCTTTGTTTGTCAGAAGGACTTCTTATCTCTGTGAGGTGTGGTCCTTGCAAAGGCATAAAGCACACGTACATAAACACACATAAACAAAAACCCCCTCTCCCTTCATCACCAGAGGCACAACACTACCTACACAACTCCAATTCAGCAACTTGTCTGGTCAAGTCTCAAGGTGGAGCTGATTAACTCCTGCTAATATGGCTCAGATTCAAATTGTAACCTGCAGGACACCACCCTACTGGGATTTAATTTCTCCCTATCCTATGAACTCCTTGCATTCACCATATCCATAACTATAACTGGAAAATCAAAGCTCAGGGCACAGGGACAACCATCCATCTTCCCTACCCGCTTGTACAAGCAGAATTTCTCTATTAAAAGAACTATATACAACAGATCATGCATTGCTTCATGTTCCCTTTCGAAAAGTACGTAGCCTTCTTTAGGGAGACACAAGATTTAGGGTTTTCTGCTTAAAATCCATACCATTTGCTGTCACTAAATAGTGAGTGAAGCTCTACAGAATATAAGTATGGGTTGAGTAATAAAAATACAAA